TCAACTGTGTAATTATAAATGTAATTACAGAAATTAATTACAGATGTAATTACATGCAGGTATTTTTTAAATATAAGTACAATGTAAAAACATGTATGTACACAATAAGTGCATTGTACCAAATTATTAATTTAAATGTAAGTACATAGTTGTTAAGGCCACTTAATATAAAGTGGGTCCAGAAACCCATTACAAAAGACCCAAAGAGAAGGAGAAAAAGAACAAACAAGGTGAATGTGGCCAATTTCTAAAGCCATGCATATGAATGCAGCTTGTAGGGTGGGTTGCAATGGCTTTTCATTTGACTGAAGAGTCTTGAGTTCACAGATTGAGTCTGAATTACATTTTCCTCTCAGAAATGCCTTTTCATTCCTCTCTTGTGCTTCAACTCAGCTGGGAGCTCTGTAAATTTAGCACTGGTTAATTAACTTTACTTTAGGCTTAAAAAAAACTAAAAACATCCAGCAGCGGGATACATTTTTCCACTCCCTCCTGTCTATCTCATCCCTCATTCCTCCATTTGGGATTGTCTCTAGTGATCCCTCTAGCAGAGTAAACCCCCTAACACTCTGCCAGTAAATACGCTAAATTAGGTCTTCAGACTAGTTTGAAGAAACAAACTGTCATTCCCAGCATTCAATTGCATAACTTTTGCTAATATCATGGCCTCTAAGTCACTATGATACATTTGCTGTAGAATACTACAATTGTTTTCAGGTTTTATCAGTTCAAGCTGTGTTAATGTATGGTATGAATCGAGTTTAAACTAGTTTGGGAATGGTTTGTTGTTATCATTTAATCAAAAATATGTGTGTCATGGATGTGAAATGGTTTGTGTAGAATTTAACTGGACTACCATCCTTCATATTCATGTATCTTCACAAAATCAGGAATAACTTTATCTTTATCTTTTGTTATTAAGATAAAAAAACTGAGTTAGCAGAAACTTTAGCTGCTCCATAAAACACGTTTGAGAACACATAAATCCATGTTTCTCTTTATTTTGACAAAAAAAGGATTTTCTTCATTTTGAAGAAACTGCAGTGAACATACATGTAGCAGAAAGAAGTTTTACTGCCTGCACAGCTTTGTGAAACAGTATAAATTTGAACAAGAGAGTTTAACTCTCTGTCCCAGTTGCCAGTAACACTGTATTTTAGACCAAAAGTTGGTGAGATTTCTAAATATTTTTTTAAAGGGGTCATATGATGCTGCTAAAAAAAACATTATTTTGTGTATTTGGTGTAATGAAATGTGTTTATACGGTTTAAAGTAAAAAAAAACACATTATTTTCCACATACTGTACATTATTGTTTCTCCTCTATGCCCTGCCTTTTTGAAACGCGTCGATTTTTACAAAGCTCATCGGTCTGAAAAAGCGAGGTGTGCTTCATCAAGGCTGTATTTATTTGATAAAAATACAGTAAAATTATTATTATTATTATTATTATTATGAGACTTTGATACTTTTTTCAGGATTCTTTAAAGAATGGAAATTTTATTTATTTATTTATTTTTTTTTTTGTTTTTTTTTTGTTTTGGACATGTAAAAGCATTTACTTTCACTTTTGAAAAATGTAATGCATCCTTGCTGAATAAAAGTATTATTTTTCATTAAAAAAAAAATAAATACTTGACCCCAAACTTTTGAAACGCAGTGTAAGTTTTTTCAGAAATGTATTTGGGACACACTGGATCAGTAAGCTTGTGGGTTCAGTAGAGCTACTTAGTGACAGAAGGTAGTACATAAAGTATCTACCCTCAGAGTTAAATGAGTGTGATCACAGATAGAGCAATTATGAGCTGCGCGCACACACACACACACACACACACACACACACTGATGCTGGAAGGGAAGGTCAGTTTGAAGGGCAGAACCATGATTTACACTCTCACTGTCTTAATCATTAATGAATAATTTATGTAAATGGACCATCAGCATTTTCTACAACTCAATTGACTGATTGAATTAAAAATTATAGCTCATACAAACTTTGTTCGTATTTGTAATGTTAATAGTGAGAACTTATTGTAAAAACTGATGTGTAATAATTAGAGCTATCTAATTATTATAACATATAGTAGTGTGGTTAATTTGAAAAAAAAAATGCAATAAAAATAAATTCATTAAAAAGTAATGCTATTAGTTATATCACTATTACAGAATTAAATTCAGAATGGAGGGGCTTGACATGTATTTTTGACACAAAATATTTAAATTGAGCGATACACTGAAAAATATTGAAAAAATATATACAGCAAATTATATATTGATTTCTGAAGCATATGTATTTTTTCTCATCTGCTACAATAAGGTAACATTTGGGGGCTTTTTCTTAGTAGTAATCTTTAAAATCTTTTAATAACTATCTAGTATATAAATAGTGTAAATTTAATAGTGTGTATGTGTGTGTGTGTGTGTATATATATATATATATATATATATACATATACATATATATACATATACATATATATATATATATATATATATATATATATATATATATATATATATATATACATATACATTTTTTTAATCCTTTGATGTTTGAATTACTGATGCAATCACAGGTAGTAATACACATAAATTATGATTTCGTACACTTTCAGAAATACTTAATTAAACTTCTTTTTCATACAGTTCAAAGCAAGTATATAGGCTACAATACCTCTGAAGGAACACTGGAGAAATGCAAATGCGGTTACTATAAGGCTGTTTACTAAAGAACCTAACTGAGTTTGTTTTAAATATATTTGTTGCAGCAGGCTTTTGTCAGTGTTTCCCCTGTGATACCCAGCGTCAGATCTGGATGCTGGGTTTATTTTTTATTCCCAGAGCAGAGGTAAGACGACAGGCCTTTTAAAGTCTTTCCATGCCAAAATAGCTTTGATTTTATCTCCACTGACAATTTCATTTGCCTGTCAGATATCTATTCTCCCCATCAGCAGCCGCGTGAAATCGGTTCCTCAATCTGTGCCTGATGCTCAGTTGTTTCCAGACGCAGTTGGAAAGAGATTATGTCCCTTCTTATCCCCTCCAAGTCAGCTCATTATTCACATTTGGCTCTTTTGGTCTTAAGACCGCATTACCCATGATGTCTCCCGTTGAGACTAAATGAAGCTGACCTGCATGGAAGCGTGGGTAATATATGCTCGGAGAAGTGTGGATGTGGGCAACCTATTGTTTTGTGGCAGATGGACTCCTCCTCCTGTTCACCTGCCATTTCCTGTGCTATGTCTCTTCCTCTTGTTGTTTAGGATCTCTTTTGTCATTCCCTCTTAAATCCTTAATCCTGCTCCATATTTCTATCTCCCTTGACATTCACACCCTTCCCTCCCTGCCGCCTTCCCCATCCATCTACTGCCAGGTTCACTGATACGAGAACCAGTTCAGGGTGTTTGCTCATGGAGGATTGCAGAGTGTGATCGTGCTAGAAGTTGTTTGTAACACAGTAAGCAGTGGACACATGCCAGCAGGACGCCTGTTGCTGCATCTGACAAAATAGGCTTGTTGTGTCTATGTAAATTCCTTAGACAAAGACCTCTGTAAAGCAAACTTTTAATTATTATTTTATAATAAATTCATACAATTGTTCATCACTCTTGCGCAGAACAGAAGGCAGAGATGCTGTGCGCTTTGTGTGCCAAATTGGAACTAATTCACTTTTTTCTGATGATTGTGATGTGGTGTGAACGGAGTATTGTTTTTTTTTTTGTTTTTTTGTACTTTAATGTTTTCCTGGCTTTTTCCTGGTTTTGGACTGGCATAGATTAAGCTTTGCACCCATTTTGGCTACAGATGCCATTATAGAAATATCCAGAGGATAGAATATTTATTATTCATTTATTCAGCAAGCAGACATGTCTAATAGGGGGTTAGTCTTGTTAAGAACCTCCCACTTAGACAGGAAGAGACTGCCTGATCGATTTGATGTCAAATGAAAAGCAACAGACCACAGATGATATTTTTGAATCTTCCCAAAAATCCTGTCTTTACTCTTTAGTTCTGTAGCTTATATAGTTTTAAGTGAAATAATTTCTTTGGTACAATAAGGTCCCATTTGTTAACAATAGTTAATGCATTAAATAACATTAATGAGCTATATATTCGCTAAGTTATTTATTACTCTTTGTTAATGATAGTTAATAAAAATAGAAGTGTTCATTGTAAGCTCATGTTAGCCCAGGTCCATTAACTAATATTAACAGATAAAACGTTTGAATTTTAATAATGTACTGTATTAGTAAATAATGAAATTTACTGAAATTAAAAATGCTTTAGAAGTATTTTTGATTGCTACTTAATAATAACTAACTAACTAATGGTAACAAATAGAACTTCATTGTAAAGTGTTACCATTTTTTAAATTCTTGAAGTTGATGCTTTTTAAATAAACTTTGACTTGACAGTTTATTTTGTTTTTGCTTGCAGTTTTGAGATATACAGCAATAATAGAGGAAATACATGAAAATTAATTATGTAGCAATTTCTGTGAACAATTGTTCAGAAAGCAGAAAAGGTCAAAACAGGCATTACTGGAAAATACAGTTTTGCTTGTGAATATCTAGTTTATTCACTCAGAACTCTAATGCCAATCCAATTAATTCAGAACAATAGTAACCAATAACAAATTAGTTCTGGCTCAAAATCACTCATTGTATCAGCCCAGTACCATTTTCTTCCAGGGCAGATTGTTTTTTTTTGTGTGAAATATGACATTAGAGCTTAGGCAATTGACTGTGAATGCTCTGTGGATATACCGTCAGAGTATGAAACTAATTGGTGGAGATTTGCATTGACCACTGGAGTTGTCAAAAGTACTGTACTTTTTTTTTATCCCCCCAAAATAACTTGTGTACTTGTTTAACTTGAGTAAAAAAAAAATAAAAAAAAATTTGTTTGTACAAAATACCTTTATTACCAATGCTACATGTGAATGTTATACATATGCTAATCAGTCTGTCTAATGCATTATAATGTTTTCTTCTCCTTTAGCTGACATACCTTCCTCCTCCGTGGGGCGAGTGTGTGTCCAGAGTCCTGGATTCAGGCCTCTTTCAGGTGTACAGCGTGTCTGCCTGTCGCATTGAGTGTGAGACACGCTACATCGTCGAAAACTGCAACTGCAGAATGGTCTACATGCCTGGTACGTCCAAACCTAGCAGTGCTTGAAACTAACCTTTTACTTCATACTCATCCTCTCTTACTTTCAATTTCAGTTTTCAGTTTCAGAAATTGTCATTTTACACAAAATATTGCCTAAGTATCAAAAAAAAAAAGTGTGCATGTAATGGTTGTAATAATAATAATAGCAATCTACATAATCGTACGTACGTTTATTCTGGCGAAAAGCAAGTCAGCATTGGGCTGTGTGTAGCGATAACTTGATTCCTTGTGCATTTGTGGTTTGCATTTGGCAGCCGAGCAAAACCTGACTGAACTTGTTTAGAAGAGGTCAGAGTATAGAAATGAATTCAGTTGTCTGTGGGTCAAAGGTGGTTTGGAACAAGCCCACAAACTGACAGCAAGGGCTTGTAAGCATCAACTGTGACTGAACTTGACATATTGTATAATTTAAAAAGTGTGGAAGATCTCTCCGCAAAATGAAACTTCATTTCTTCAGAAACATTCCATTTTCATTTCATTTCACTGATAAAAAAAGTAATTTCGGCCCATTGATAAATAGTCATCTTTAACTGTTGCTAAATGGTCTTTTTAAAGACGCAATATATTTCCATGATTTCATAATATGATTTCATGAACTTTTCATTGTGACTTAGTGCACTTTATGTCCCATTCTTAATGCCAATGTATGCTCTCCCATGATAGCTGATCTTTAAAGTTAGTGCTGCAGTCATTTTCATTTTAAACTGGTCTCTTTTAATGACACTTATATGGTCTCCATTTTCACCTATCTGATAAAACTGGACTTCTTTATTTTATAATTTCATATTAATTCTAACCCATAGGCGCCAACCTCAACCTCCTGCTACTTCAATTGACACTCAAGACAGGACAATTATCTCATAGATGATTAGTCCTTCATTCACACAGGCACCCTGCTCTAATACTGTAATTATAGATTCATTAACTGATTGTGACTGCCCTGTGATGTACATTCAGGATACGTCTGATACATTTTAGCCAAGAGCAAGTGTAGACGTGTACAAAACTCTATTCCATATGCACACACACGCACTCCCAGTTGTTTATTTCCTTGTCGTGCTGCTGAGTTTGGCTGGGTGAAGGTTGGATCTGTTTTTCTCCTACTCAGAACATGTTCCCAGTGATTCATTATTAATTTAAGAAGGCTGAATAAAGAATAACTTTTCTTTGACACTTAATTTTTTTCTGTTTCTTTGTTTTCCTCTCATTTCTAGGTGATTCTCCGTACTGCACTCCTGAACAGTATAAGGATTGTGCTGAACCTGCTCTGGGTGAGTGTATTCTTCACACGCACACACACACACTAGTTTCCATGTTTGATGGGGGTATTCCATAATGTAATGGTTTTTATACTGTGCAAACTATACTGTACCCTACCCCTACCCCTAAACCTACCCCTCACAGAAAACCTTATGCACTTTTAGATTTTCAAAAGACTTCATTCTGTATGATTTATAAGCTGTTTTCCACATGGGGACCAAAAAGGTAAAAAATTACTGGGATCACAATCCTTGTGAGAACATTTGGTCCCCATAATGTAGGGAATACCAGTACACACACTCTCTCTACACCCGTTTATTAACTAATACATATACACGTGTTAAACTGGGTCAGTTTGCTGCACTACATTTACTTTAATACATTGCGCGGTTTGTATTCCATTTTGTTTGTAACGGCACACATATTCTGGCTCCATTTAGCAAGTATAAGTTCTAAAAAAAAAATGATGTAAAGTTCAATATTATCCATCTCTGTAGTCCAGGGATCTCAATCTTGGTCCTGGAGAACTCCAGCACTGCACATTTTGTATGTTTCCCCGTGGGTTTAAAAGAGAATTCATATTTAATAATATTATAAAATTTTATCAGATGAGAGCAAAACTGAAGCTGGATAATGACACTGTTGGCTTCTGTAGAGCTGCTTTTTAGCTGAATCAAATTTGTTTCATAATTGATGAATTTTGCAACATTAACACTGTTATTTTCCCATTTATTACTGTGCAGCTGCTTTGACGCAATCGGTATTATTAAGCGTTATATAAATAAATGTGACTTGACTTGACTTCCCTGTTTGAGCCACTACTAATAAACTCGTGATATCAATCAGATGTGATGCATAAAGGAGACATCCAAAATGATCAGTGCTGGGGTACTTCAGGGCCAGGATTGAGAACCACTGTACTTATCAATGTCAGATTCTGCCAAATAGGCTGCATCCAAAACTCTATTTTTGAATAAGTACTGTTGAATAAGTATATATTTGACATGGCACGACACAACAAAACAAGAGTGATTCTGTTGTAATCAACAAAACTCTATACAAAGGCAGGTTTTGTTTTGTTGCTCACATTCACGGTTTGACTCCAGATGTATTTGACATTTTCAAACTCTCATGGCACAAAATACATATGCACAAGTTTCTGTTCAGCAGACCTTCATGACTGTTACTGCACTGACCCTCCAAAATATCCAATTACATGGACAAAACTCATGAAAACAGCAGCCACTGTCCCGCTTTTATTCTCTGCTCCACATCTTCCTCCTCTGTAACAGTGTTTTGTTCTTATGTAGCATCCTTAAAGAGAGTAAAATGGTAAACGGCGGAACAAAAAGTAAATGTAATTGAACAAATCTGTTTGTTTGTATCTGTGCTTTATATATACGCATTATATATAATCTTCACAAGCTTTACCAAATTAGACTTTTTAAACTCTGCATCGAAAAAACTTTGAAAGTACCCCTCAGTTCTCTTACATAATAATTGCATTTTTCTTTGCAGATCTTGATTCCTCTTGACACTGAGACTCCTTTATTGAACTTTAAATTCCTTCGTGAACTCTCTCGAATTAAGTCATTATTTTGGAAATATATTCAGGGAAAGCAAAGACTTGAACTGTTTTGTGCACCATCCCTACCAACAGAATGCAGTCTGGCTCTCATTATCTCCCTCTCTACGTACCATCTGACAGTATATACCAGCGGTCTGTCCCACACATAATAAGCAAGTTGGCTCCATGTTCACTAATTATCTTTTGCTAATGAGGAAATTCAAATTAGAGCACAGCTAGGACTGTACATTTTCGAACGTCTCAGGTACACACAATCCGTTTCCAAAGACTTCCTCAGGTTATTAATATGTGTAATTTCAAACATTTTTACCTTTTTATTAGAATTCTCTGTGCACAATCATGCAAGATAAAGCCAATCGAGTATGAAGAGGGACAGACTTCCAAACCACTGGAGAAGTTTCATTCTCTGACCTCAGTTGACAAGTAAAGGCACAACGGCACAGCACAATAGGCTGAACAGCTTGTCCAAAACTTTCGCTGCTGGCTTCAAAATCCTCGACAGCTGGTTCTTATCTTTGACAAAGTGGAGAGGAAATTATCACCAACTTCAAATTTCTGTTCACAGCACCCTGAGGAGAGAAGAAATATGTATTTTCGGTTTCACCAGAACAATATGCAGATGAACACAATTAAAAATGAATGGGGGGAGGTATGAAAGGGAAATTGCTAGAGTAAAAAAAAAAAAAACTAATAATAATAAAAGAAAAAAAACAGAATGAGTGAGATTGGCCATGATAGAAAACACTCAGAGACAGAACAAAGAACAAGCAGAATGTTAATCAAGAGATGTTCAGAATGGAATAATAATGTACTGTATACTGCCTAGTGCCTACCAAAACAGTATTCAATGAGGAAATAGAATGTGATATTACACAAAAACAGTAGTACTCCTAAGAAATAAACATTGCTATTTTGTATTGTTAATTCAGTTATTTTAATCCAATTAATTTTTTTTTTTTTTGGTACTCTGATCAAATACTGCAAGAAGGAAATATTAAAAATCATGGTCAAAGCCAGGGTCAAAACCTGGTAGTTAGCACAAATAATAAATACCCATTGAAAAATACTAAATCAGCTATTCTATTTAAAATTGTATTTTGAAAATGTAGTTGAATAATTGAGTAACTGATAACAAACAAAGCAGAATCTCAGTAAATTAATCTGGTAAATGTATTTTATATACAGAATATGAATTAATATTTACATATTTACCATATTGTAATTGAAGATATGGGGCAGTTGTGGCCTAATGGTTAGAGAGTCGGACTTGTAACCCGAAGGTTGTGGGTTCAAGTCTCAAGTCCGGCAGGAGTTCTCGGTGGGGGAGTGAATAACTTGGATGGATTAAATGCAGAGCACAAATTCCAAGTATGGGTCACCATACATGGCCACTTCACTTTTTCACTTTATACTATAAACTCCATGAATGCAAATGATTTCACTTAATTAGCCTATATGTTGTAAAAAGCAAAGATGTCTAGAATGTGCATCTAATTCATGGAAATACTGAATAATAACCCCATTAAAATATCTATTACATTAAAAAACAATAACACTAGTAACAACATGCCACTCAGGGTCTAATTTTATTTTCATTTAAAAATGAAAACTATAATTTTACGCCACAAATCTAAAAATATTTTTGCCCACAAATCCCTCATTAACAGATAGACACAAAAAAATCTTTAATATTCAACATAATACAATGTCATAGATCACTATTTTCCAGAGACCCATTTTTGTGTCAAATTGAATCAGTTAACCTGACTAAATTTCACAAATGTTGATATTCAGATGAAATGACAAAATGAAAAATAGCATAGCCATTCATCAAAAGAGTTTTGAAATGAGATTGTGCCATATACTGTATGGTCAATAGAAAAGAAGAAAATAAGGTGGGATGGTCAGCTTGCTCCGAGGGGCATCTTACCCTTCTGTACTATTATTCTATATTAATAAAAAGGCCAAATATAATAAAGTTTGTGGTTGAAATTGCTAGCCACATTGGAAATTGAAGGTCTAGTCAAGTGCAATTCATTGTGGAATACCTTTGTGGTTTCGAGCACAGGATCTGTCATTGGCAATGCTAGGAGAAAATGAGAGTTATCAGATGTGAACGGTGCTTTTAAGTTCATACAGAATGATGGATTTAGCACAAGATTATAGCAGATTTAATAGTCGTGTGTGTGTGTGTGTGTGTGTGTGTGTCTGTGTGTCTGTGTGTCTGTGAGTGTGTGTGTGTAGAGGAGGTTAAATCTGACTTATTCTCCAATTAAATGATGTGACTTTAGCATCATCTCCAACGGCAGGGGTGAGAGAGGGGATTGAAGTGAGGAGAGGAAACAGAGGTAGAGATAGAAAAGGTCAGGGATGGATGAATTTAAAAATGTTTCTTTGAAAAGTCAGATTCCATCTCCAGGTCATGCATGTTATGAGCTGATTAGAAATCTGAGGAAGGCACAGCCAAGAGCAAAAGATTTCAGCCCTTGGCAACAGACAAGAGAATAGCAAATTATTCTCTTTTGTTACTTTACATGTACAAAAAGGGAAATAAGAAACAGTAAGAAGTCAGTTATAAAATGTACTCGGTTACTAACGTAACCTCGGTTCTCTGAGATACAAGAACGAATACTGCGTCGCTAAGACGCTATGGGGGAAAACTCCTTTTCTCCGATGACTGAAGCCTTTTTTAATAACTGCACGCCTATTGGTTCATGCAGTGAATTAAAAATCAAACCAATGGCTCGGCAGCGGAGCTCTGAAGCTCTGAGCTCAGCGGAGCGATGAAGCCCGCCAGAGCCAGCCAGAATGGGCGGGGCCATCTGGCTATATAAGCGGGCCTGTTGCCATAGGATCCTCAGGTTACTTCAACTGAAGCGACGACTGAGTCGTGCAGCTGCATAGCAGGGCTAGTTACGCAGTACTCAATCCTGTATCTCAGGGAACCGAGGTTACGTTAGTAACCAAGCACGTTCCCTATCGATACTTCACTCATACTGCGTTGTTAAGATGCTATGGGGAACCAGTACAATCCCGCCGTGTTATGCTAGAGGAATACTTGAACTCATACTTGAACTTGCCATACTTGAACTTGCCTTAATACACTCATACTTGAACTTGCCTTAAGCACCACAAGGGGCCCAGAGGGACCAAGTAATTTGCAGGGAATGCCCCGCATGAGGCAACAGAGGTCAGGCCAGCCATGAGTAATTGTTCCAAGAAAACCCTTACAGCCTCAGCACTCAGTGAGGGCCAAAAGCGCAAGAAAGGAGGCAAAGCCTAAGCACTGGTTTGCCCTAAGGCAAGAATGAGCCCATTACGCAGAATGGACCCAGGCCTGTAAGGACGGGACATCCAGATTACAGAGCCTGGCAAATGTGGACGGCAAGGCCCAGCCGGCTGCCGCACAGATTTCTGGAATGGACACACCGTTAGACCATTCCCAAGATGAGACCATACCTCTAGTCAAAAGGGCTCTTACTCCCATGGGGCAGTGTAGGCCCAAAGAGGAGTACGCTAGCGCAATAGCATCAACTATCCACCTGGAGAGTCTCTGCTTAGTGACCGGAAGCCCTTTGGTGCGGCCATTGAAGCATGTAAAGAGTTGTTCCGACTGCCTGATCAGGGCGGAATGCTCAAAATAAAACCTCAATGCCATGATGGGGCAGAAGTACATATCCGTCCCTTGGTTTCAGGATGACCTTAGAGTCGTTGGGCCCGAATTCAAGGCAGGAGGGGCTCACAGAAAGCGCCTGCAGATCTCCCATCTGCTTTACCGATGCTAACGCCAGTAGCAGAATGTTTTTTAGCGTCAGGGAACGAAGGTCAATGCATTGTAGCAGCTCAAAGGGAGGGCTCTTTAGAGCCCTCAGCACCGTGGACAGATCCCATGTAGGGACTGTGGAGGGGCGAGGCGAGTTGAGCCTCCTAGATCCCTTCTAAAGCGAACAATCAGGTTGTTCCTGCCCACTGATTGGCCGGCTATAGGAGCGTGATAGGCTGCTATGGCTGATGCATAGACCTTGAGCGTGGAAGGGGAATGGCCCTTGTCCAACAGCTCTTGCAAGAAGGACAATATCCAAGATATGTCACAGGAAGCTGGACCTTCGCGGGTCGTGCACCAGGTGGAGAAGACCGACCATTTAAGGGCGTAGAGGCGTCTCGTAGATGGTGCTCTAGCCTGAGAGATTGTATTTAATATGCTCTCGGTGAGGTCCGCAGGCTCCCATCGAGAGGCCAGAGGTGCAGAACCCACAGCTCGGGCTGGGTTGGATTGGTTCGGGAGGCGGGTCGCCTTGTGGGGACTTGACACTCGAGTTAAGTGGAAGAGGAAACTTGCTCTTCTTTCGAGAATGTTGTTGTTTTTTTCTCACTATAACAGTGACCGGTTGTGTGGGCGCTTTTTGAACAGGCCAAGTATTCACAATGGAGTTCACAACAAACACATTGCCGTCGGCACCCAGAACTAAACGGGGTGCTTGGAGGCATAACAGAGGCCGTTTGGGGGCGCTAGACTCAATGCTTCTCGTAGCGAGAGCAGTCAGCCCCCGTGGGCGCGGCTCAGATACGTCTAGAATCTGAAGCTGTCAGTGATAATAATCATTAGTGACAGCATTCACCTTCAATCAGCCTAAAAAGATCAAAACCGCTCATTAGAAGAGGGATACTGATGATCTTTATGTGTAAACACACCGGCAGATTAAAGGTGCTGCGCATTTTCTCAAATCCGCTCGTAGCGGACGAGGGGAGGGTCGAGCCGCAAGCGCAGCAGAGCAGGACACACGCTCTTGTAGTGAGAGCGGTCTGTCTCAGTGAGCGCAGCCTCAGCATAGGCGTGACCCAGGCAAGCAGCGCACTCTAACTCTAAGCTGTCAGCGATATGAATCATTGGTAACAGCATTGTACTCAGATTCGCCCAGAAGGATTGAGTCGCTTGAAGAAGCGAGAGGCGCTGATCCTCACGTGTAAAAAACACTGGCAGATCAAAAAGCTGCGTGGAGAGTGACGCACACGGGAGCTGTGCCGGCGTGAAAATCACTCAGGCCTGATCGCTCAAACCCGCGCGTTCACTGTTTCTTTCTCCGAGGTAACTGGGAGGGGAGAAACGTGAGAGCAGGGGTGGACTCATGCTTTCATAGTGAAAGCAGCCTGTCTCAGTGAGCGCAGCCTTCGCTACGCACATACAAATGCAAAGCTGTCAGTGACAGCATTCCATTCCGATCGCCTAGAAGGATTGCACCGCTTGATGGAACAAGGGGCGCTGATCCTCGCGTGTAAAATACACTGGCAGATCAAGTGAGGCATGCGGGATGTGTGCTGGCGTAAAATCACTCAAGCCCGGTCGCTCAAACAGCGAATTCGCCATTTCTTCCTCCGAGGTAACTGGGACGAGAGAAACATGAGAGCGGGAGGGATCAGCAAGCGAAGCAGGAACAGACTGAGGCTTTTGAGTCAAAGCAGCCTGTCTGAGTGCAGCCTCTGTGCCGCACACACAATGTGAAACTGTCAGTGATAGAGAGGTGACAGCGTTCTGCTCCGATCCGCCTAGGAGGATAGAGCCACTCGATGTAGTGAGGGGCGCTGATCCTCACGTATAAAACACACTGGCGGATCAAGGTGCAGTGGGGAGAGTGGGCACGTGGACTCTGTGCCGGTGTGCGATCGCTCAAACCCGGTTGCTCAGCCCCGTGGCTCCGCTGTTTCTCTCTCCGAGCTTTGCTGAGTGAGGAGAAACGAGAGAGCGGGGCTGCCTTCATTGAAGAAGGCGGGGCGCGAGTGGAGAAGGGTGAGACTCATGCTCTCAGTGAGAACATTCCGTCTCAGTGAGCGTGCAGTCTCTGTGTGGGGGCTGCCCAGACAGGCGACGCACTCATTACTCCTCTGCATCGTGCAACTTATATAGCCAGATGGCCCCGTCCATTCTGGTGGGCTCTGGCGGGCTTCATCGCCATAGGCTCGTGCAGCTCTGCTGCCTAACCATTGGTTCGTTTTTAAAACACTGCACGAACCAATGGCCGTGCAGTTTCACTGCGTGAATGAAAAGGCTTCAGTTATATATATATTCATTTGATTCCATAAGGATACTTTAGGTTTGGTTCCAAACTATGATTGGCATTCCAATTGCAATCCTGTACACATTACTTAGGATGCTTTGACTAGCGAGGCACAGACTCACTTCACTGAAACATTGAGTCTTAGAGTCTCTTTATCATTCACTGAAAGCTAAATGTCAGCATGTTTATTGAAGATAAATACTTTTACAGAAAAATGTTTCACCTGTCAATCAATCAGTCTTTTGTTTTTCAGTAAGTTTCTCTAGAATGTTAGAAAACACTTTGACAATATGATCCTTGCGGTTTATCAGATTCGTAGTGGTGGCTTTCATCAGAATGCTTGCAGTATCTTTCTAAAGGTAATCAAAAGTGCCACACGTAATATTTTTCTAAGCCGTCAAGAGTTGACAGTAGCGATTTAAAAGTGTTCTGACAAGGCCAAAAGTTGAATTATACTTTAATCAGTGTGTGTGTGTGTTTGTATGTGTGTGTATGTGAAGACATTGAAAAGACCCTCTGTGTGCAGAAAAGGATAAGACGACCTCATGTTCTTTACATTGTCAGTTGTTCTACAAGGAATGTCATACATAGAACCCAGGAATGCTGCCTGCAGAAAGAATTTACATATATTCTCCCTTTTTTCACTGTACCTTTTCCCGTCTCTCCTCATTTCCTTTTTCTCTTTTCTTTTTCCTCTCTTCTATACCCTTTCATGCTTTCCGTAGCTGCTCTGTCAGCTGTTGAAGGCACAAACTGCATCTGCAGGAGCCCCTGTAACATGACTCGATACAACAAAGAGCTTTCCATGGTTTGCCGAACCATTGGTTCGATTTTTATTTCACTGCATGAACCAATGGCCGTGCAGTTACACTACGTTATTAAAAAATGCTTCAGTCATCGGAGAAAATAAGTTTTCCCCCATAGCATCTTAGCGACGCAGTACGAGTGAAGTATTGATAGGGAACAAATTTTATTCTAGCCAAAAAAAAAATCCCAGATTGCCATTTTTTTATAGAGAAAATAAGGCTATTATGATTGTAACAATAGTATAAAATGCCCCTGTTGGACATCAAAAGGAACTGTTCAGCTGCAAGACAGTTGATGGAAATCACAGTTCCAATGCAATAAGTGGGAGTGTGATAAAGACCCAGTTGGACTATCAGAGAAGTACATCACGTGAGTACGCACCTCACATACATGTTAAAAGTCACTTTCCCCTCAAATACATCAAAACAGCTTTGAATTCAGCATTCAAAAGGTCTCTGAAGTATTTTTTAATGTATGTTGCAACTTTTTCACCACTTTCCAAACTTTTTAATTGTTGTCCTTGTAATACCTTTCACAGGTTTTAACTTTACCTCATTACTGCCACCAATTTGTAAAATTACCAGTTAATGTTCCACCTTATATCAAGATCACAGAGATATGGAGCTTGTTATTGATCACAAGCCTGCGCTTTTCTAGCAGGGATGAGCTGTGGTGTTATTAGGCTTGAGAAAAATTCTGAAATTAAGAACCGACTTAATTTTATTCACAAGATTTAATTAAATTGGACATGAACCACAGGTTAAATTGAAATGACGGGAAGAGGAATTTAATGAATTGCAGCTCAAGGTCACAAAACAATTTAGTAAGACCAATAATTCAAAAATAGTTAAACATTTGAATGTTTATTGTTTTGAGAAGTCTTTAAATCTCACAAAGGCTGCAAAAGTTTGATGAAAAATACAATGAAATCAGTATTATTTTGAGGTGTGTGTGTGTGTGTGTGTGTGTGTGTATGATTTTTTTACTGCCACTTTTGATCAATTAAATGAATACTTAAAAAGTATTCATTTCTTATTTTAAAAAAAAACAGCTTCTGAACAGTGTGTGTGTGTGTGTGTGTATGTGTGTGCAGTACTTAAAAAATCATGTAATGCTTCTGGAAAGTGCAATTGTGACTGTTTATTGATCATTCATAATGAAAAGTACAAGTTAAAATTATAAACTACACCTAAACAATTGGGTTGCTTTTGAATTGTATTCTATTTTAATTTACATACTAAATTCTAATTTAAAATGAACATATATAATTGCTCAAGTACAAATTTAGGAAATTAATTATAATGGAATTGACATTGCTGTTCCACTACGAATGAAGCACAACCCTGGTTGTAACACTGTACATGACGAAATGGACACTGGAATGTGGAAGAAAGCTTTGCTTGTGTCAAAGAAACTGCCCCTGTGTGTTATTGTCCTACTTGAGGTGCGTTTGAAATGGACATGCTTCTCTACAATAAAAGGAACATTAGTACACCAGGACATTTGATGTGGCTCTTCAGACATGTTTATTTCTCCTCTAGACATTTAGCTGACAAGTTGAGACTACTTTTGCTTTGTGTCAAGAAGATTCAGGGAGTTGTTCTTCAATATAGTGACAGATATCACATCCTCTCCATTCATTAGTTCATCGTCATAGCTATAAGCTTGTGATTGATGTGTCTGAGACGTGGAGCTATTGGGAATACTGACTCTCTCATTCTCACTCTCTCTCTCACACATGCACACACACACACACACACACACACAGAAATGTTGCTCAAGCGCCGAGTCAATTAAATCAGCATAAAACAGACAGCATATCATCACTCTGGTGTCCCACTAGAAAGATAAGCTTCTCTAGACTGCTTAATTTTATGATAATAGAGAAAAAATCTTGTTTACTTTAACTCCTCTACACATGCACGCAAATTATCGGTCATGCCAAGATCAATCATCTCTGCAGCATAATAGAGGCGTAATGAATGGTTGCGATAATGCTAGTGTAATTGTTGTCAGGGTTTGGAGGTTAGCCCTCTTGCAGTTTACCAACTAACATCTAATAACAGTTAATTTGCCTTTGGCCCAGTCTTGAGACTGCTGTCAGAAAGGTGTTTGTGCGTGTCTGTTTGTGTCAAAAAGCAAAAGACTGTATCCTACTGTAAAACTGTATCTCTTTTATGTTAGGGTAGATGTCAACTAGTGCAGAAGTAATCTATTCAGTACCACCAAAAACACTAGAATAACTAGGTCTAACCGCAGTGGTACTGATATATTATCAGTACCATGACATTATAAGCAGCCATGACATTCTGTTGGTCATTTGGTTGTTATTTCTGTTGTATCACACTCGGTAGCGCCACCTACAGTGAAATCTCATTGGTTTAAAATCCTGCTCCAATTAGCTTAATATTAAACATCAAAAATCTCCTACTTGACTGTGTCAGCCAACATAACTGTTTCTGGTGTGAACAAATGAATTACTTCTTGCAGCAAACTTGTTTTCTGGTTTTGCCATGAATGAAAATGTAACTTCAAAACATCACTCTTTGTGTTCTGTTGATGCAGGGACAATATCCTAGTTCTGGATGTGTTTTTTGAGGCTCTGAATTATGAGACCATAGAGCAGAAGAAAGCATACGAGGTGGCGGGTCTACTAGGTATCACAGCACACTGTATTATGAATACTGTGTCTTTCATCTTTTCTCTCTTTCGCTGTTCCTCTAAATCATAAATATATTTATGTTGCAGGTGATATTGGTGGTCAGATGGGTTTGTTTATCGGTGCAAGTATCCTGACCATACTGGAGCTATTTGATTATGCATATGAGGTATGTCAGCATCTAAACACAGGGTCCAAAATGAACTGCGAAGTAAATTGAGAAAATATACATAAAATTAATCAATAATTTTTGCAGTTATTTAACATAATTCTCTATTACATTAAAATTACATTAAATGACATTACACTATTACATTAAACAACAATTTATATATATATATATATATATATATTTACATATTTGTCATCATCACAATTATTTACCTGCTTTTTCTTGGATGTGCTTTTTCTTGAATCACAAAATTGCAGCATCTACCATTCAAAAGTTTGGGGTCAGTGAGATTTTATGTTAATTTTATTTATACTTATATTCAGCATTAAATTAATCAAAAGTGAGACTAAAGACATTTATAATGTTGCAGAAGATTTCTATTTCAAGTAAATGTTGTTATAGTTCATCAAAGAATCATAAACAATCAAATGTATCACAGTTTCCATGAAATTATTAAGCAGCACAATTGTTTTCAACATTTATAATAATAAGAAATGTTTCTTGTACAGCAAATCAGCATTAGAAGGATTTCTGAAGGTGACGCTGAAGACTGGAGTAATGACTGCTGAAAATGCAGCTTTGCATCACAGGAATAAGTTGCATCTAAAAATATATTCAAATAGAAAATAGTTATTTTTATTTTATGTGTTTTGAGCAATTAAATGCAGCTTTGGTGAGCATAAGATACTTCTTTCATAAACATTTAAAAAATCTTAGCGACCCCAATCTTTTGAATGGTGGTGTACAAAATGAGTTTGCATCAGTCTGTCAAAAAATGTGATATGTGCCCTTTGTGATTTGTTTCCCCCCAAATATTTTTTTATCTTGCTTTATTATTGCAAGACATATTCTGAATTTGGGATTAACATTCTTACCAGTTACCAGCCATTGGAAAGTATATATATATATATATACACTCGCCAAAGCCAGTTTTTACATGCATTTGGCATTTGTCGAGTGTTAATTCTGGAAACTGTCTGACATACAAAGGAAACACTCTGTTCAGTGTCCAGACTCAGAGGCACAGGAGACACTATACACACTGTAATAAACACATTCAGACATGATAAATGCAAATGTATTCAGAGAAACACACACACAGAGAGAGAGAGATTCCCCTAGACACAGTGATGGCTGTTGAAAACTTCACTCTGTCTCTAGTGTAGAATGAATGACACTCTGATGGAGAGTTTCATCATAATGAGCCTTCATTAATTCTGCATTGCTGCTGGTCTCTTTGCTCTATGGACAGCAGCCAGCGCAAGCCCTTACACCTCTCATACCCTCGGGGACACACAAACACACACACACACACACTCATTTTGCATTCTGTCCTGTCCTGTTTTAATGGATTTTTGATGCAAGATCGCTTTAAATGGACAGACTTCATCTTAAAAATTATTTTCTGAAACTTAAGCCTCTCTGGTTTTTAAGCCTTTTGGCAGCTGTTAACAAAGCACATAAAAACAAATGAAACACTAAAGCATTTAGCTTCATTGGAAATGCATGCCCAACTATACATGCCCAATGAGATTTTAGCTTTAAAATATGGTCATCTTAAGAACTGACCTATTAGCCAGCAGTTTTAAAAATTTAACATTTTAAAATTCTCAAGACTCAATCATGTCCACGGGGCATGTTAAGCCTTCTCTGGTCCAGGGCAAAGGCACCTCTCCTAAGTGTGTGATATTATGAATCATACTAGAGCTCATGCATATTGATTAGGTCAGCCTCTCATTTCTTGGTAACCTCCTAGTGCAACCCAGTAATGTGACCTAAGTAATATTCATGAGCTAGGCCTTTACCATATTAGGATCAGACTTGCCCAAAGGTTTTCACATGACCAAAAAGTTATACCAATAAAACCACAGCAAACTCAACAATGATAAACAAGCTGCTCACAGAAGTGTGATAGTGGTCATAGTGAATACCATAGTGAGTCCTTGAATGGATTTTTGTGATTTTTTTCACACAAAAATGAAAATTCTGTCATTTTTGACTATCCCTTTTAAGTATGAACAACAATCAAATTCGAGATTGCATCTAAATCTACTACACTCTTAAAAATAAAAATTCCAAAAGGTGGTTTTCACAGCAGTGCCATAGAAGAACCATGTTTGGTTCCCCAAAGAACCTTTTGTGGTGTTGTGATTTATAAATAGATGCCACTAGATAGGTCAATAAAGAATCTTTATTTTTAAGAGTATACAATCACTATAACAACCACATAAACAGTCAAGCAAAGATCTCAATCAGTTCTTACCACTATCAAACAGGCTTTGACATCCACCGCTGCCAATGATTTTCAATGGAAAGTAGTAAAGCCTGCTTTAAAAGTTGCTAAATGATGTCATACGCTAATTAGCATATTCATCTGCTGGTCTCTTTGCTCTATGGACAGCAGCCAGCGCAAGCCCTTACACCTCTCATACCCTCGGGGACACACAAACACACACACACTCATTTTGCATTCTGTCCTGTCCTGTTTTAATGGATTTTTGATGCAAGATCTCTTTAAATGGACAGACTTCATCTTAAAAATTATTTTCTGAAACTTAAGCCTCTCTGGTTTTTAAGCCTTTTGGCAGCTGTTAACAAAGCACATAAAAACAAATGAAACACTAAAGCATTTAGCTTCATTGGAAATGCATGCCCAACTATACATGCCCAATGAGATTTTAGCTTTAAAATATGGTCATCTTAAGAACTGACCTATTAGCCAGCAGTTTTAAAAATTTAACATTTTAAAATTCTCAAGACTCAATCATGTCCACGGGGCATGTTAAGCCTTCTCTGGTCCAGGGCAAAGGCACCTCTCCTAAGTGTGTGATATTATGAATCATACTAGAGCTCATGCATATTGATTAGGTCAGCCTCTCATTTCTTGGTAACCTCCTAGTGCAACCCAGTAATGTGACCTAAGTAATATTCATGAGCTAGGCCTTTACCATATTAGGATCAGACTTGCCCAAAGGTTTTCACATGACCAAAAAGTTATACCAATAAAACCACAGCAAACTCAACAATGATAAACAAGCTGCTCACAGAAGTGTGATAGTGGTCATAGTGAATACCATAGTGAGTCCTTGAATGGATTTTTGTGATTTTTTTCACACAAAAATGAAAATTCTGTCATTTTTGACTATCCCTTTTAAGTATGAACAACAATCAAATTCGAGATTGCATCTAAATCTACTACACTCTTAAAAATAAAAATTCCAAAAGGTGGTTTTCACAGCAGTGCCATAGAAGAACCATGTTTGGTTTCCCAAAGAACCTTTTGTGGTGTTGTGATTTATAAATAGATGCCACTAGATAGGTCAATAAAGAATCTTTATTTTTAAGAGTATACAATCACTATAACAACCACATAAACAGTCAAGCAAAGATCTCAATCAGTTCTTACCACTATCAAACAGGCTTTGACATCCACCGCTGCCAATGATTTTCAATGGAAAGTAGTAAAGCCTGCTTTAAAAGTTGCTAAATGATGTCATACGCTAATTAGCATATTCATGACACTATTGCATTTGTATTCTGCCTTCTGTCAACCTTTTACATTTTGCCTTTCTACTACTCTCTAAGCTCACATACTGTATTTTAATACAGCCAAATTCCCAATAAAACTGTTTTCATTTATATGTTTTTCTGTTTCTGTTGTCAGACAACAGGATGAATATGAAATAGTGACTGAAAAATGGCCCATTAAGACTACATATCCAGCTCTCCCTTCCAACCTGTTAATCTGCACTAAAATCCTGATTTATAATCGAGACGTCATGAAAATCAAATGCACATAAAGACAATGGATATGCTGTTTTTCAGCTATATTTACAATTTTAAATTATCACTCAGATTAGAAGCAACAGAATATATCTACAGTATATCAGCAGACGCAGAGAGAAAACCAGTACCGATGAGTTTGTCCAAGAAGTCATTCGATTTGTTTCTAGCTGCTTTTTTGGGGGGGAAAAATCCCTAAAGGGGTCTGAAAAGTCACAAAATCTAGCAGCTAAGCTGGCAACACTGTTGACATCAACATCAAGAAGTTTTGATTTATTAAAGTTCTCAGGCTGTTTAATAGCTCCAACTTTAAAAAAAAAAAATTCAATTCCTGTGGCATTTGAGACAGGTGAAGCTGAGATCATTTGTTCATTTGTTCAGAGCCTTTTTTTTTTAAAGGGGTCATATGATGCGATTTCAAGTTTTCCTTTCTCTTTGGAGTGTTACAAGCTGATTGTGCATAGATAAGATCCCTGAAGTTGCAAAGACTAAAGTCTCAAAACCAAAGAGATATTCTTTATCAAAGTTAAGACTCTGCCACGCCCCCCTAAAACGGCTCATTCTAACACGCCCCCACATATCTACATCACCATGTGGAAATATTTGCATAATGCGCCCAAATGATCACGCAAAGAAAGAAGGCGTGGTTTCAGGAACAGGCAGAGCTACAAAGCTGTTCTGAGGACAGCAGTTTGAGACCTGATTTGGCAGTGAATGAGATGGTGGTTTGTGATGTGTGCTGGCAGGTGGTGAAGGAGAGACTGCTGGACCTGCTGAACAGAGAGGAGGAGGAAGAGAGTCATGGAGAGGATGTGGTAAAAAATAACTGCCTGCTAAGTTTTAAATCATTTACTTAGATATCACAAACCCAGTGCGTGGAATGACTGTGTTGTGCCTCAAGCGCGCAGTTTTAAGAACATTTGTGTTTTTTCTCAGAGTACCTGTGATCCGGTGGTAAACCACTCGGAATCGATTAGCCACACGGTCAGTGTTCCCCTCCAGACCACCCTGGGCACTCTAGAGGAGATTGCCTGCTGAGCACCGTAACCCCTCCACACCAACAGGGGGAGCCGGGCCACTCCACTCCAATGGGTGAAGGACAGATTAAAACGGGGGGAAAAGTCTCTATTGCTTTTTCTCAACATGTCATCATTTGGCACAAACATGAGAACTAGAAGCCAAGGAGCTTCTAGAGGAACATGAGGACCCCAAAGTTTCTCACAAACACCATCTGTTTGTTCTGGACTCATGAAGGAAAGCAGAAGCTTGTGGACCTGTCGGGACAGTCACTTGTAAAAATAAGACAAACATGAAAACACGAACATGTGAGGAACTGCAGATGCGCACAGCCTCTCTCTTTCTCTCTCTGCCCAGACGCCATTTTGAAATCTACTGCCAAAACACTGTAAACTATTAACAGAGAAAATGTTGTGAAACTGTTCTAACTGTGCATGTGTCAGTTTCATGCGTTACAATACGGTTTTCTCGAACCTGTCATCCTCTCTCACGTGTGGAGAACATTTTGTCTTCTTGTGCTGTTTGTTTGCTATGTGTTTCTGCATCTCAGTTGGTTTCTTGATGTATCAGAGATGCATCATAAAACTGAGAGCCCCTTTCTTCTATCCTTTTTATTTTTCTATCCTTCATAGAAAAGTCGAATGGGTCACGGTACAATGGCAGCCATTATGAGCCCATTGTGGCTGCAAATGGCTCTTCTACATGCTTTCTGGATCCCATTTGAAAAATAAGAACAAAGAGAGTACAGAAAATAAGTGTTTTTGTCGCTTTCTGCATTAGAATATAGTGATACAACTAGCGGTTTTCATTTTGTTACATGTGAGAGCGGTGTTAATTTGTCATTTAATGCTGATATTAGAAAGCTGATACATTAGCACTTTTCAGAGATTTTTTTGACAGCAATCATAATTCCGCTTTCCCAACTATTGTAAGTGGGATATTTTCAAACATATAAAGGATTTAGAGGAGTTCATGGTGGTTTATTATGTGAGCTGTCGCTCTACTGTTGTCTATGTCTCATCTCCTCATTTTAGAGCTCTTCATCTATGCTGGGGTTAATTAATGCTGTAATTGTCATATGTTAGCTGATATTTACTATGTTCCCACATTGCTCTTTGATGATGGATTATAGACAAAAATGTGTGATTCTGTTCTTTTCTGCTCTCAAACTAAATGTGAGGTTCTCGTATCACTATACATCAGTATGAATGAAACCTCAATTGACCCAATCATTCTTCAACATGTACAGTGTTTCAGCCAAAATTCATTAACTGAGGGCAAATCATTTGTGCAGAATGTGCTTAGGCTGAAAATAATGAAAGGAGGGTCAGTTCTGGGTGATGAGAGTGAGCTTGGTTGCATTTCTCAATTTAACTCCCTTCAATATTCAGTTTAAGAATATTGACCGGCACAAAATTCAGTCACAACATGAAAAGCAAGAATCAGAGCTTGTGTGTTAAAACTGTAGGTGACACTTTTAAACAAACTGTTCTGGGACACAAAAAAGGCCGCTGGCAGACAAGTAACACCAGAAATTTGTTGAGAAGTCCTCGAATCTACATATAAATGAAGGTATTTAATCTGGTTTAATAAGCCCAGGCTTTCACACATGACCTAGGGCCCCCTTGACCAATCAGATTTGAGCTTAGAGGCAGTATGCGAATATCTGTCATAAATATCCATGCTCAGAGATTTTTCTTAGAGGATTATTAGTAGTTATTATTTTCATGCCCCCTTCTGGAGCAACAGTATTAAGAGGCGTGATTTGCGCCTATATCATAATGCAAAATTTATCAAACAAAAACATTAAGAGCGGAAACATTATAATTTGGCCACAAGGAATAGAACAATGAATGTGTGCTATGGGTTGTTTGTGGCATGTGAGAGAGCCATGTGATTGTGTTAATACAGACACATGTTGCTTAATGTGTTATATTTTATTCTATAAATATAGTAGGTAAAAAAAAAGCAAATATCCAGTCTGAACAATTTTCTGATTTGCAAAGTATCTGTGACTGAATGTAAATGTTTTTAGTTGTTTTATTTGCAATTCAATTTGCTAATCAAATGTAATGGGCTGTAGAGGATGAATGTCTTATCCTTATTTGCCCTAAAATGTGATGATTTCTTCTAAATATGTCAAAGATAAAGCTGTAAACCTCAGAGGGTTTCAAGCACATGCAAAGAAAAAAAATAGCCAAACATGTACACACTACAAATGCAGAAACCCACAGCATCTGTCCATACTTACACAACAGTAAACTAAGAAGTTACTCATAATGTTAAACAGTAAATTTAGTAAACTCTTTCTTGCCATGCGGACAAACACCAAAGGGGTGTCACGTCACCTTTGCTATTTTCTCATTAGGAGAAACCTGAGGGGTTGATGGTTTCTAACTCCAATGTATAATTGCTTCAGTACCTCAGACCTTGAAAACAATAAAGGCTAAATGGATTACAGCACCTGTGTCTTTGCCCCTGTCTGTCTGTCTGTCTATCTATCTATCTACACATATATATATATATATATATATATATATTCTTTTTGTTCATCATAAGGCTATTTCAGGACCACTTTCGCAGCGATATCCACTGTTTCTAATCTAATTTGATTGAAATGTTTTTTCTTTTATACTTGCTGTCCCTTTATCATTTCTGGTTACTCGAGTACACTGTTGCTTTTTTATGCCTGTGTGCGTGAGCGCAGGCGAAGGCTACGCATGTCTGCCTAGGTTGTCAGCAGGGGTGTGAAGTAACGAATTACAAATACTCACGTTACAGTAATTAAGTAGTTTTTTATCAGTAATTGTACTTTTTTGAGTAGTTTAAAAATGGTGTACTTTTACTTGAGTACATTTTAAGTGATGTATCGGTACTTTTACTCCGCTATTTTCCTCTGTTTAAATTCATTTTTATAAACAGAGATACACATAAACAAACATCACGAAGAACAAAAGAGCTGTCTTTGAGCTCTGAGTGCAGGGGCTCTGCTATGCCATTTACTTCTAAGAAAAACAAGCTAGCAGCTATAATCAGCTTAATTGTTACAGCTACATACGTTGTGCAGAAGTTAGTCACAAGGCTTTCACGTTGCATAAGATGTTGCTGTTCATTGTCATCATTGCCAAATTTATTGTTTAAAAAAAGAAAGGTTTGTTTACTGATTTATGAATGCAAATGTTACCTTGCTGTCGTGATTGTGGTCCCAGGGTTTTTTTTTATTTTTATGTATTAGCGTCAAATGTGGGTAAGATTAGGTATGATGAGACAAACAAATGGAGAAATACAATTTTGACAGCATGTGATTATTCGTGCCTCTATGCAGTAAAGAAGAAACAGAGAAGCGAAGATGCAAGAAACTCAATTTCATTTAACAAAAACAAATTCATTTTTATAAACAGAGATACACATAAACAAACATCACGAAGAACAAAAGAGCTGTCTTTGAGCTCTGAGTGCAGGGGCTCTGCTATGCCATTTACTTCTAAGAAAAACAACCTACCAGCTTTAATCAGCTTAATTGTTCTGCAGATGAATGCTGCTAAAGTAAACAGTCTCTCTGAGAGCGGCTCGGAAGAGAGGGGCGGGGTCAGCAGAGCTCATTAACATTTAAAGGAAAATGCTACAAATCTGCATGCTCTGAAAAGAGCTGTTTTTGACAGGGTAAAAAAATGTGTTTTTTACACTACCATTGAGAAATTTTAACCAAACTATGTTACAGACTTTTCATTAAGACCCTAAAGAATCATATCAATTTGTGGAAAATGGACATCCTATGACCCCTTTAAGTGAAAAGGTAAAAATAGACCCTTGGGGTAAGATGCCATATCTTCATTTAAAAAATGGGCAATTGAATATGTATCAGAATGATACATATTCATATATATTATATATATATATATATACACATACATATTCAAGTATATATTCATATTTTTATTTAAGTCATGGAATAAATTTACTCTCTTTTACTGGGATTCTGCCTTGACTGTCATCAGTTATTAAATTATTCTATTTTATTGAAATGGTCAAAACTATTTTAAATAGAATAGATGATTTAGTATTTTATATTAATGACACTTTAATATATAAATATCCCCACTGCAGAGTAGAAAAGGATATTATGAAATGATTGACTAAATATGTCGAAACTGTTTGTTTTCTTTAACTGCAGTTTTATTGTAGTGATTTCCCACAATGAATCAGACGAATGTGTTTTCACACACAAACTTTATGGTACTTTAAGATTTCAGGTGTGAGGCTGACAGGACATTCCCAGTAAAATTTTGTTTAAGCTCGCATTTAGTCACATAATTGATGTCCAGTTTCAAACTGCTTATCTGGTAGAAAGTGTTTTCATTGTCATCTATGTCAGGTTTTAGCTGTATGTTGGACCCATCAGACCCTTCCATCACAAAAGTAATCAGAAATTCTGAAAGAGTGATTTTGCACGTTATTTCCCCACCCAAATACTAGGATATGTTTTGTAAATCATAGGAAGCAGTTATGTTGAGGGCAAGTCATATGTAATCACTTGTCGCCCTTGTTTACTGCCTCTGAGAGGCTGCTGGTTAATTGAAAGGTGTATACCCTGATGATAAGGGCGCTGCACTGTGAAAACAACCCGGCCTGGGGAAATCAATGCCATTTCATACAGTTGCCCAACAGCTCTAACGAGGAACGTGGCATTGGTGTCAGCCATTTGGACCTGCAATGCTCCTTTCTCCCCGCTGACAAATAATAATCTCAGCATCAGGCATTCACAGCAATGAAATTAGTTTATAATAATGAAACAGAATGTGTTGCCATGGAAAATGGTGAGCCATGGCTTTCATTGTTTTTATTGGTCACATTAATGCAAACTTCTGCAAAATTTTGTGGGCAAAGTAATCCATTGTCCTTTATATTTGAATTTGCATGTTAAAAGTTCAACAAAAATGGGGAAATTTTCACATGATTTGTCCCTCACACAAATTCACGATCACATGGATTTCCGTTGAGCCGTGGAATTTCAACTATACAAAGGTAAATGGGCAAAAAAGTCCACGTCTAGCTATTGCAGTGTAGCAATGTATGAAGCACAGCACAAGTCGCTTTCAAACCAAGCAGATTTATGTTGATCAAGGACCAACTTGAAGTTGTTGCAAAATTTGCGTTGGGAAATTTTTCATCCTCGTAAGACTGGATTTTGCCAAACAACGGTAAATGTGTCAGACTCCACCCCTTAAGTGTCAGTAACTGTCAGGAGGTTGTTTGCATTTTCCAACTGAGATACAAGTTGGTTTGATTATATCTGGTAGACTAATCAACTGCACACAGATGCTGTAGAGTTTAACTTGTAATTACCCATACAAATCTTTCAGATGGACAGCGAAATTCTCATCCATCTATATACTTGTTATTATTGTGCTATATTTCAGTATGAGTGGTGCATGATTGAACATGCCAGCCAGGCATGTCATGTTGGCTCTGTCATGTTGACAATCTGTCTGGAACATTTAATGCATCAAATCTGTGATTTATTCATTATCATTCTTTAGGAATTTGATGACATAAATCCAATCTGTAGAAGAAAATACGGTGTCTGTATAAGCCCCCTGAGGCTAAACAACAAGTATATGCAGGCAGAAGATGTCCTGCAAGAGGTAATTTATCTAAATCCTTAAAAGATGACGCAAAGCTTTTATTTTCCTTCTCATCTAACATGTATAGAATACTAATTTCAGCTAAGAGTGTTCGCAAATTACCCTCTAACTATTCAGCACACATTTCCAGTATGATATGTGATATATAGCCAATAAGTAATTTATAAGAAAACAGTATGTGTAGCTAGAAGGTGTTATTTGTGTAGGAATAGCAACTGCAGGGTCTTTTTTTAGCCTTTTTAAAGTCTTTTTAGCTCGGGTGTGATTACCATTCAATCAATCAAAGTCCTCAGGAAATCAAACGTAATAATGATTGTATTAATTTGCTTCCAGTTTTGTTCAATTTCACATCCAGAGGTTTTGTCATAGGAGAATTAGAGATTGTCTGCAGGTCAGTAGGCCCTGCAATGAACTGGCCATGTCACCCTGCCTTTGGCCAAAGATGCTGAGATAGCTTCCCTGCAAAGTAAACCTACATGGATGGATGTTTTGTCATTTTTCAGTAGTAAGAACACTAATGAAATCACCCATCATGCGCCCTCTTCTGTTTTTGCAAGGTATTGCATGTGGACGCAATCCACCAACAAAATTAAACGGGTCATATGATGCGATTTCAAGTTTTCCTTTCTCTTTGGAGTGTTACAAGCTGAAATGCATAAACAGATGACTACTAGCAGAATCTGATGGTTTATTTATTAAAAGAATAATCACACATGCTTTATCATAAATTTTCGTTTTGATGAGCCAAACAGAATTCATGCCAAAGAAGACTAAGTTTGTTTGTGAAACTAGCTATCCTCAGCCTCATAGTTCACTTCGCATAAGTCTTGATTGATTTTTGCAGATATTCAGTTGGTTTCGAGTTATGAAGTAGAAAATAAGGTAAATCTGCATCATAACTGCAAAAAAGTTTGTTGTCAGGAAAGAAACTGTACAAAAATTACACCTTTAGGGGTACAACAGCTTGTCAGCAGGGGAGTATCCTCAAAGATACACTCGTTGTGCCTGTAGTACATGTTAAGGTACTAATGTACCCTTCAGGCCACAATGACAAGCTGTCGCACCCCTAAAGGTACAAATTTTGCAAATTTTTTGTTTTTACAGTACAGTATACTCATTAATTTTTTAGCAAGTTATAATGCCAGCAGTGCTGTTTTCATCATGGCATGTCTGACGTAACAGGCATAACAGGCAGATAATCAAGCCTCAGGATGCTTGTAGAACATTTTAAATTACTGCTATGTAATGAAAATCCTTACACAACCCTGTGGAGTCTGAACAGCAAAGCAAAACTGCAAAGGCCGAGTGCAGATGACACAAAAAGATGTTCTAATGACAAAATTATGGAAGTTTGTATCTGCCACTGGATAAAAATATTAAAAAGGTCATTTTGACTTTCTATCTCACAATTCAGATTTTTTTCTCTTGCAATTCTGAATGTATATCTCACTGTTCTTTTTTCTTACAATTCTGGGATTTTTATCTTGCAATTCTTTTATATCTATCATTTATATGGTTTTTTTTCCCCCACCATTGAATAAAAAATAAAAAAGGTAATTGCGACTTTTGATCTCACAATTCCGACTTTTTTCTACAGAATCACCAGTTTAGAGTTGTGAGATAAAATGTCAAAATTACCTTTTTTATATTATGGTGGAAACAGGCATTGAGTATCGGTTGCTGTCATGACATTTGGTGAACATAAATAAAGGTAGGCCATGATAACGCCGAACAGGCTGTTTGGTAAAAGTTATTAATGTTGGCCTTCAGCAGCGTTA